AATACATCTTTAGATCAAGCTTCATGTGTGATAGAATGGGTGCAGAAGTTTCCGTGCACTGCAACAGCCTAACGTTGGATTTGTAGGCTATGAAAGGCAACCACAGTGGACTCTTTAAAATAAGGGGATGCAACTGAAATAAAATGGACATCTGGCTATACATCTAACATTTGTGCATGCTTTTGGAATAATCATCTGAGTGACAATGACCTGGAACAGAGCTAGTTCTCAATGTCAATTTTTAGCTTAGGCTCAGTTCACGCAGTTCACACATCACTGTGCGATCTGCACAAAACTCCCATCCTTGCAGTTAACGACGCACAGTCAACTGTAAACCAAATACCAGAAAATGATATTAAAGTTTCATTTTTTATAAATAATATTTAAAAAAAAAAAACTATTAATGGAAAAATACAACAACAAAAATAAAACACACTATCTCCCACTGTTCCAGCTGTTAGAGTGAAGTGTTGACAATCGCTCATTTGCTTGTGTGACACTTACATCGAGCAGTGTGTGTAGATGCTGGTCCTGGAAAACACTGTGGAGGAAATCTAAATCTTTTTCACTGCAGTCCGTCAAAGCGTGGATCTCCTCTAAACTGTCCAACACCTGAGACACAGCACCTGCAAAGCACGCACGTCAGAAGTCCATCAGTCACTCAGCAAATCTGCACAGCTCTCAAGCGCCAAAACAGTTTCTCAGTTATTCAGCCTGGCTGCACTTTCGATTAGGTCTGTCACAATAATGACCTCCATTTCTTTCCAATACTGTTCTACAGTTCAGTTCCTCAGCCACCAAAACTTTGGCCGATTTAAATTTAGCACATCTCTACTTTAAGATCATCAGGGCTGTCTGTGTGAACTCGTCCCTCAGCGTGAGATTATCGTAGTGGGCAGGTGCGCAGCTCATTTAGAGAAAATATCTATTTCAAAAACAGAATCTAATTTAGTTTCTTCTACTTATCAGAGTTACAAGACTTAAGTTGAATTTACTACACAGCGCACAATGCATACGTGCAATGGGACAGAACAAGCCTTACAGGAGGGGCACAAGAAGATTTTTTAAAAAGAGACAAATTTGATATCAGGTAAGGTTGTGATCACTCCTCATACACGGGCAATGACCTCTAAACTGTTATAACAGCTCCTGTGTTTAAGTGTGGGTTTGTAATACAAAAATAACTACACTTCAGGGATCGTGCCAGAATAAACAGCAGGATTGGCACTACCATTCCAGGACTTGGACACAACATCTAATCGTTTATTTTAGGTGGCATAAAATGGCCACAACAAACTTGCTTTTAACAGTTAAATGTGAAACAACATATCAAATAGCAAAGGCAGTTATGGTGACAGGGCTACACAAACTACTACAAAGCACAGCACAGAGAGAACAAACAGGTACCTACGTTCTGCTGCTAGCAGTCCTAGCATGTGGGAAGCATTAAGAAAAATACACAAAAAATGAAAACATTGGCATTGTGCATATGCTGCCATCAACATTTAAACATTCAGAAGCAGTTGCTTCACAAGTGCCTCTGGGATTAACACTGATAAACTGGAAATGATTTGTGTTTTCAGTTGCTGGAATCTGTATGAGACTATTAATCTTCATAAAGAGATACTCAGTAGATCCTCTGATTACAGCTCTTGTCTTTGGTGTATATTTAAGAGCTTGTTGCACAAACTTTCTTGTAACAACCTGCACAGGGCCTTACAGAGAAAGGAGAACTCAAACATGAAAAAAAGAGGAAGGAAATTAGATGGAGAACGTGTGATTATTTAGCCAAAAAGACAACAAAGAAGAGTTTGACTTCTGTGTCTTTGTCTACCTGAGGATGTGGGATCATCGGAGAAGTCTTGGAGTTCCTCGGGTGGATCTCCGTAGAAGGAGTTGAACTTGTGACTGGACACTGCAGCCAGCACGGCCCCCTGAAACCACAGCAGGAACATGAGCACGTGCATCTGTGGCCCCAGCTACGTATATCATCAATACACACTGAGATGATATCATGAACAGAAGTCTTGAATATTACAATATGATATTGTAATATTAAACCTTGAGCTTCCTCCTGGCGTTGAACTTTCTCAGCTGCTCCACGGTTTCCGGCAGGTGGATTTTGTAGGCATACCGATCCCTCTCCTTAGAAAGAAAACACAGAGAGGAAAATTGCTTACACGAGCTTAAACTGACTTCTTACACTGGGATGATTCTACTGAGTTCTGCTGAGCCATGTTTGGCACTGTCATTATAGCATGGACCATTTATTGGACACTACACTTTGAAAGCAGTGGGCTTTTACCAGTCAGAGAAGGTCAAATGAAAAAGGGTGTGTTAAAGGACATGCATTATGTATGGACTAAATAATTCATTCACACCTGAAATTAAAATGTTGTCTGTACCTGGAGGACAAGGAACAAACCCCCCCAAACTGTTATGCAGATATAAATGGTAGTAAAATCCACTGGGATCAAAGCAAGACCAGCTAACCCACAGATCCCAGTTTGTGTAAACACAATCTGCACAGTGTTCATACTCTGAGGAAATAAAGAATCCACCTGGGAAGATGAAGGCTTGTCCATGTTCTCTTGCAAATCTAATAAAAATTGTCCAATAATTTAATTTTGTACTCTTGAAATTTTCCCAGACTCGTGGTGGACAGTCACCAAAAATTCCAAACATTTCCTCGCCCAAAACTAGCACTTACATTACCCACAATGCACTGCAACAGAAAGTTCAGTTAAAGGCTAAAGCATGAATTAAAGTAATGTGGTTGCAGTCAAACCTTAGGCTTTCAAGAAAGCCACATGTTGCAGCAATGTGGCCTGTTACAGCTTCGATCACTTCTATGTTACAATATGTTATGATGCTTGCTGCTCTATTAACATATGCACTCTGTTCTTCTTTTCTATGTTTCATTGACATCTACAGGAAGCGGTGCCTGAGGAAAGCGGGGAGGATCATCAAGGACTCCAGTCCCCCCAGCCATAAACTGTTCAGACTGCTTCCATCAGGAAGGAGGTTCTGCAGCATCCGGTCCCGTA